TAACTGCTACTACAAAGTTAAAATTTGTTAAATTAATCACGAGCTAATATTGATTCAGTTAAATCGCAAGTCTTACAACGTAACATTATCTCAAATTTCTTTATAGTGATCTCTATTTGAATTAGATATAACCAATGAAACAATCGCCCTCTATAGGCGCATGTATGAACTACATATATATATATTTATAAATTACATCAACATTGCTTTTAGTAGTATATATAGTTGAATATAAAGAAAGGGGGCCGTGGAAACATTAACTGTCCGACATAACTATTTTAAATGTGACTAAATGGGACAGACTGTGTTTAAGCTAAGCTGGCAACCAGCGCGATATATGGGTCTGAAAACCATCATCAACATCGTTTAACCTCAAAGCTGCCCCTACAGTGGCTCTGCGGTAAGCCTGAAGACTTATGATGCTAAAATTCGGGTTTCGTTACCCATGGTGGGAAGAACACAGACAGCCAATTATGTAACTTTGTGCCTAACCCCTATCAAACGAAACCAAACCCTAAAAGTTTCATACCCATATATGCTTTTTAGTTATTTACTTTATATATTTATTTTCCCGTCAACATGTCAAGGTCGAAAAAGATTTATGAATAGTGACGCAGGAATCTGTGACACTGAGAACAAGTTCCACATGTTAATACATCAAGCAGGGTTCATTTACATCCTTCTCCCTCTGTTAACAAACCTATCATGTTTACGACGTCAGAACTTGTTTGATATCAAAACTTCATTATTTGATCAGACGTTCCAGGACATTTGGCTGAACAACTTAAAACCGTCCGTATGGCTTGGTTTAGCCAATTATTTCAAGTATAACACAATGACGTGGTGTTTAAAATAGACTGTATTTATTCAACAATTTCCGATGGTGCAATACACCAAATTTTACTTGTTGCTAATTGGACGCCGAGAAGATGAAACCTGGCATTTAGCCAAGTTCTTCGAGCAGTGGTAACGTTCTATTTCTTGTGTATAGTCTGTTAAAACATATACTACAAAGCTTCTTTATAACTACAGTATTCGATATTTGACATTATGACCCCACCATTTTGTGCTGCGTTTGTTTAATCCCATTTTTCATCTTTTGATTATTAAAAATTGTTTACTGCGCAGTTCTACACGATTTCAAGATTACACAACTTTCTAATGAGGTTTATTTGTTAAAATATATTTTGTAATTCAAAACTCCACCGTGGATTTATTTTTAATTTTCAAGTTTATCTAAACTGTAATTGCTCCCTTTACTCATATTTATTGTAGATTATTGCAATTATTACATCATTGAACCAAAATGAATTTCAATAGGAAAAGTCTCAATCTTACCAATCGTTTCTTCACTTCCTTTGGATTTTTGCTGAAAAAAAAGAACATTCCAGCTTTATTGTATTCTTGCAAAAGTGAAAGCTACAGGCGCAAGCCTAATGAAGTGATTATATAATAAAAAACTTTTTGAACGACCTCCATTCTCCAGCACTTGACGCTTACCTATGTTAGGCTACGTAACGGACATTCATCTACTCAAAACATTTATAACTTCAAGAGATCATTTCAAAACTTCTAGTTATAATATCCAAATGTCTGTCTGTCTATCACGCTATGCATCTCCTAAACGCAAAATCTTAGAAGAAAAAAACTTGCTTATTTTGAACGATCTGTCAGTCTTCGTATGTCTGAACGGTCAATCAGAGAAAAACTTACTCAGCTCAGAACATAAATGTTTCTTTTGTGAGGGAATTTCACACAAGCACACAACAACAAAAAACAAACAAAAAAAAACGAGATGTCCTCCATCAACTGATGGAAGTCAATATTTCTAATATAGAGGCATGAACGAAAAAAAAAAAACTCATAATGATAGGAGCGTATTTGAGCGTATATTTGTTGTTCGATTTATATATATATATATTATAATTATTTTTTTTATGTCTGTATTATATACAAACATCACTTTATTGTATCATGTCAAATAAATTGATTTGAATTGAATTTATTATCTCCCGTTTGAAACTTCTTAGAGAAATAACAACTGTCAAAAAACACTTCGGTAGTGGTCTTTTTTGGCGCTCAGTAAAATGACAAGGAACAGTGGCATCCAGTGGAAAAATTCTCGCGGCTACTTAGCGAAACTGAATGTTTTATTGTGCTGGATGCACCCATTGCATCGAAACCCAAACACCTGTGCCAACAATACATTGTAGTCAGTATTCTTTGCATATAAACAAATACAGTACAATTTTCCTTTTTGATATAACACGTGGAATGACATAAAACGGTTGTAAACGGCCTACTAGACAATCGTATTACGCTCTGATTCAAAGCATTGTGTGGACTGCAGATTTTTTATTTATTCATCACTATTTCTAGGAAAATTGCCGTTTAATTGTTTCAACAGGCATTTACTAGAATTCCATAATGCCTAAAATGAACAATACCTTTTTCAGTCTTGTGCCAGTGGTTTTAAGAGTTTGTAAGTTATCAGTAACACAACACAGTGAAGTTTAGAGCACTTCGTTCAATATTGAAATTTATAATCAAATGTTATAATTACTGCATTTTATTTAGTTTTAATTCAAGCAATAGACAACTGATTCAATGGCTTGAATGGTTTATCCAACACTGCGATAAGTTCCTTTTCTTCAGTCACTAAATGGGTTCTCATCTATATTAGACATACGATCCTAATTACGATGACCCATAATTTACTTACATCTCGTCCTACTTATCATTTGACATAAGTTTTTCTGTAGCTCATCAGCATCCTCAATGTGGCTAGAGATACTCAAGTGTTTAATGTTATCTTCAAACTTTGCTATTTATATTATATCAATATCATTAACGTAAGTTAGTAAAAACAAAGTCCATGTATTGACCACTGAGGTAAAGGAAGGTCAACTTTGATTGGACTCCATGACCCTTTCTCTCATTCAGCCATCCTTTCACCCAGTTAACTGGTATTTTCCCCAATTCCACGGATATGATTTTTAAAACTAATCTGTGTGTATCGTACTTTTTAAATACCTAAGTTTACCAAGTCTACACCTTTACATCTTCTAGAATACAAATAAAAACCTCGAAGAAGATAACAGATTAGTAAAGCAAGACTTCCCTTTTGTGAATTAACAGATTAGTAAAGCAATACTTCCCTTTTGTGAATTAACAGATTAGTAAAGCAAGACTTCCCTTTTGTGAATTAACAGATTAGTAAAGCAAGACTTCCCTTTTGTGAATTAACAGATTAGTAAAGCAATACTTTCCTTTCATGAATTAACAGATTAGTAAAGCAAGACTTCCCTTTTGTGAATTAACAGATTAGTAAAGCATAACTTCCTTTTATGAAGTAACAGATTAGCAAATCAAGACTTCCCTTTTATGAATTAACAGATTAGTAAATCAAGACTTCCCTTTTATGAATTAACAGATTAGTAAAGCAAGACTTCCCTTTTATGAATTAACAGATTAGTAAAGCAAGACTTCCCTTTTATGAATTAACAGATTAGTAAAGCAGAACTTCTCTTTTGTGAATTAACAGATTAGTAAAGAAGGACTTCCCTTTTGTGAATTAACAGATTAGTAAAGAAATACTTCCCTTTTGTGAATTAACAGATTAGTAAAGAAAGACTTCCCTTTTGTGAATTAACAGATTAGTAAAGAAAAACTTCCCTTTTGTGAACTAACGGATCAGTAAACCAAAACTTCACTTTTGTAGTAAATGATTTTACTTTTTTTTCTCTCAGTACTCATTTAATACTATGGGTAAGGTAATGTTAGGTACTCTCTAATCCTCAGGTACTTCCCACTGTTTACTGACCTACCAAATATGAAAGAGCATCATAAATTTCATCTTTGACTTACTTTAAAGCTGTAGGGAAAACCTTGTCTGGACCTGATACTTTATTTATTTTAAATACCTTAATAATACCATTTTTATGTAACGTTATAACTGATTTCTGATTAAATTGGCATCATTAATGCGGAAATTTTTCTCTGCGGATTTTCTAACAAAGTACTTTACATATTTCTAAACCCATGTGTAGAATATCATCATAAACATAATTATATAAACTGATTTAAAGTACATCTTAGATTATCAATTTGTTATATATTTTAGAACATAATTATATAAATTAATTTAAAGTACATCTTAGATTATTAATTTGTTATATATTTTAGAACATAATTATATAAACTGATTTAAAGTACATCTTAGAATATTAATTTGTTATATATTTTAGAACATAATTATATAAACTGATTTAACATACATCTTAGATTATTAATTTGTTATATATATTTAGAACATAATTAAATAAACTGATTTAAAGTACATCTTAGATTATCAGTTTGTTATATATTTTAGAACATAATTATATAAACTAATGTAAAGTACATCTTAGAATATTGATTTGTTATATATTTTAGAACATAATTATATAAACTAATTTAAAGTACATCTTAGATTATCAATTTGTTATATATTTTAGAACATAATTAAATAAACTGATTTAAAGTACATCTTATATTATTAATTTGATAGATATTTTAGAACATATTTATATAAACTAATTTAAATTACATCTTAGAATTTTAATTTGTTATATATTTTAGAACATAATTATATAAACTAATTTAAAGTACATCTTAGAATATTAATTTCTTATATATTTTAGAACATAATTATATAAACTGATTTAAAGTACATATTAGACGCAACATATTTTCGACTTTAAGATGAAAGATTTTTTGTTCTTTAATTTCGTGCAAAGTTACATGAAGGCTATCTGTGCTAGACATCCGTAATTTATTATTGTAAAACTAGAGGAAAGGCAGCTCGTCATCACCACCCACTGCCAACTCTTGGGCTACTCTTTTACCAACGAATAGTGGGATTGAGTGTCACATTATAACGCCCATACAGCTGAAAGGTCTTTCACTGCTAAATTAGGGACGGAAGATAGGCTTCGTGTAGCTTTGCGCGAAATTCAAAACAAACCAAACAACTCTTAGAACATTTATTCAACACCACTTTACTAGGCTAAAACAACGGTTATAGTGGGATCCCATAAAATCAACTTAATAGTTTGTTTGTTTATTGCATTTCAAGCAAGGCTACTGAAGACTATCTGCGCTGGCAGCCGTCCGTAATTTAGGAATGATAGACTAGAGTGAAAGCAGCTAGTTAACGCCACACACTGCCAACTCTTGGACTACTCTTTCCCAACAAAAAGTGGGATTGACCGTCACATTATAACGCACCTATGGCTGAAAGGGCGAGCACGTCACAACTTAACAGAGTAATAAATTTGTTAAACATATTTCAAATGTTACTCATGTCTGAACCAAAACATTATTTGTGATTATTTCATATTCTACCAGCAAATTCAACAGTCAACTTGGTAAAAAATAGTGATGAATAAATAAAAAGTGTGCAGTCCTTGGATCATAATGTATGTAAAATATGATTGTCTAGTGGGCTGTTTACAATCATCTTCTGTCATTCTATGTGTTATTTCAATAAGGAAAATTGTATTGTGTTTGTTTATGAACAAAGAAGACTGAATACAATGTACTGTTGGCAAAAATGTTTGGGTTTCGATGCAATGGGTGCTCAGGTTTGCTAAGTAGCCGCAGGGAATTTTTTTGCTGGATGCCATCGTTCCTTGTCATTTTACTAAGTGCCAGAAAAGACCGCTTTTTGACAGTTGTCATTTCTATAAGAAGTGTCAAAGGGGATATATTCAATTCAAATCAATCAGTTCGACATAGTACGATAAAATCATAAACGTATATAATACTGACATAGAAATATATATATATAAAGTGTACAACAACAAATATATACACAAATATGTTCCTTTCTTTATGCGTTTTTCCGTTCATCTTCGAAGTATTTCTTTTAATCAGTCGACGGAGAAAGTCCAATTTTCTTTGTGAAATTCCTCCGCACAAAAAAAGAAACATTTTTGTTCTTAAGTTTTCTCTTCTTTTCAGGTTGACGTTCAGCACATACGAAAACTGACAGATTGATGTTGATACTGAGATGAAATTTGAGGAATTGTAAAAAATAAATAACTTTCCTGTAATGTACTCTTGAAAAGAAGAGTTTTGATACATATATTTATCTATGATTAACCGTTCAGGAGATACAGAATGTGACAGACAGACAGACATTTGGCTATTACATATATAAGTTTTTAAAGTTGCACCATGGACAACATCACATAAGAAACATAAAACAAAGTCAAAAACTTAAAAACTAAACCCAGGATTTTGCTTTATTGTTACTAGGTAATCTAATAATGAACTTACTGCATCACAGAGTCAACGTCAGTAAGTAAGTAATCCAATCAATGTTAG